CAAGTATCCGCAACGTAGCGCCCCTCCCCCCCTCCCCTCCCTCCTCCCTCCCTCCCCTCCCTCCCCCCTCCCCCTGCTTGCTGCTGCGGACTGGTGGTGGCGGTGATGCTCACGTAGTGTCCACTACTTTAAGCGGACGAAGATCTCGGCCAAGGCGCTGCTGAAGATTGTCATGCACGCGCACTCGGCGGCAAAGGGCGAGCGCAAGACAGAGATCATGGGCATGCTGCTGGGCAAGGTGGTGGGCGAGACTATCATTGTGCTCGACGCGTTTGAGCTGCCCATTCAGGGCGAGGAGGCATTCGTCACCGCCGGCGACCAGGCCAACATCTACATGTCCGAGTACGTGGCCAACTCGAAGCTCGCCCGCCCGGAAAACCCCATCGGGTGGTACCACTCGCATCCGGGCCTGCAGGTCTTTCTCTCGGGCACCGACTGCACCACCCAGAGGCTGTACCAGCAGTTCATGGACCCGTGGCTCGCCATCGTCATCGACCCGGTCCGCACCATGACCTCGGGCAAGGTCGAGCTCGGCGCGTTCCGCACATACCCGCCGGGTACCTCGGCAGCGTCGGCCTCGTCGGGCTGGGAGCCTGTTCCGGCCGATCTTATCGAGGAGTTTGGCGTGCACAAGGACGAGTACTACAAGATGGAGACCTCGTACTTCAAGTCGGCCTCGGACGCCGCCCTTCTTGACCTGCTCTGGGACCAGTACTGGGTCTCGGCCCTCGCCACCAACGCGCTCACCTCCAACGCAGAGTACTTTTCAGACTGCATCCACAAGGTTGCCCGCAAGCTCGAGGATGCCGAGGAGGAGATGGCCCACTCGTCGTCGTCGTCGTCTGCCCGTTTCCGCGCAGGCGGCGCCGGCGCAGGCTCGTCCATGAGCTTCCTATCCTCGGCACCAGCCGCTGCAGGCCCGCCAGACTCCAAGCTCGCCCTCTGCGCCGACGAAAGCTCCAAGTTTGCCATCGAGGAGCTTCATGCCCTCACCACCCAGGTTGTCAAGGACTCGCTCTTCAACATCCGCCGCTAGACCAGCATAAAGCTGTGTGTATGTGATGTGTGTGTGTGTGTGTGTTCAGGCGCTGCCTTGTCTGTGTTATGACCACCATCACTGCGTTCCAGCGTTCTAGGCTGCCTTCCTGCATTACTTTGCCGCAAGGTTGGTGTCGCGAACGTACTGCTCGAGCTCGCGCAGCGTGATGATGTCCAGCTCGTCGATGTTGATCTCGATTTCCATCGACTACAGAGGGGAGGTGAGTGTGGGAAGGGGAAAGACAAGGTGATAGGCAGTAGGGGGTGGGGGGGGGGGGGAGAGAGAGAGGAGGAGGGGGTAGCACGGCAGCATAA